TCATACCATGCCTATTTTTATTTCTATATAACTACCCCTCTTTTATTCCTCATAAATATACCCATACTCAAAGTGCATTTCAAGTATGATGCAGTGAAAAAATAGGTTTAGGGGTAGAGCTAACTTGTTTTGATTTCTGGCCTATTCCTTATGAGCTAGCAGGACTTAGGACAAGTTTCCTTAGCCTCCTCTCTAAGTCTCCACTTCCTCATCCATCAAATGTGGATCATAGGACTATTGCAAGATTAAAGGAGTAAACTTTGTAAAGCATATAGCTCAGTATTTAGCAATACTAGATGCTTCTTAATTATCAGTTTCCTTGGATGAAATCTTTTGCTACTATCCCAGTCTATAGTCATCTTCATCTTTGAATCACTAAAATAAATTCTGCCAATGCTTTCAAGAAATAGACTGTAATGGCTCCCAAGTTCCATTTCTAGGGCATAACATGATCACTCAAAGCCTGGCATCCTATAAGAATAATATTGAATAAAAATAATAAGTAAAATAATAGGAGCTAATAATTATTGTACATTTCCCACAGTGCTTCAAGCACTGTGCCAGAACTTTATATGCATTGTCTCATATCATTTTCACAACACCTTCATGAACTAGGGGTTATTAATTATTCCCACTTTACAGATGAGAAATTTTATACCAGAAGAGGTAGAGTAATTTGCTTAAGGTCATGCAGTCTTTAAAGGAAGAGTCAGGATTCAGAGCCAGTCAGTGAGCTTTCAGAGGCCACTCTTTGAACAATTCTACTTTAATTCTTCTTTTTCTGATAATCGATACAATCATACAAGACTGAAATCTTCTTTTCCTTTTGCTACCCAGAAAATAATTTCATTTTTCTAAAGGTGGTTCAGATGATTCACCAAAATATTAATTGGTCCCAGCATTGATACCTAGGACACAACACCATTCATACTTCTCCAGAAAAAGTCCCTGCTTTCCTACTTATAAGCTACTTCCCTATCAATTTCAAAACACTACACCACAATTCCATGGTGACTTAACTTTTTTAACAGTGTTTGGTGTAGGTGTAGGACCTTGTCAAAATCTAAATAGATTACATCTACTTGTTTCTCTTTGTCCACATGCACATTTAGTCTCTCAAAGAATTCTAGTCAATTAGTTGAGCTTGATTAAACCTAAGTGTTTTGTAAACTGTAAAACACAACACAATGATGGTTAATTTAATTCACAGGAAAAATAATGCTTTACTCCCAATAGGTTACACTTGCCTAACAAGTTCAGTGATCTTACCAGCCTGGATTCCTTGGTTCCCCTTTGAAATTTTTATCTTGGAGAGAAGACTCATTGGCAATTTGCCAGGCTCATTACACATCACCTACTTGGAATGACAGGCTATACACTTTGGTCAGCTATTATACAATTTTACTCAAAATCTGAGTAGATGCCATCTGGTGCTGGTGATTCATCAACATCTATTTAGTCAACCAGACTTGGAACACTGTGTTCATTTACCATCATCTCATTTTGAATTCCAAATCTTCCTCCAAAAGGCAATTTGGGAATGAAAAACAAAGCTCAGAGTATGTTCTGACTCTCTTATGTCCCTTTTGTCCCTGAACAGACCTTTTGCAACCTGACCAGCAAGTGGTCCTACTGGCTCAGTTCTTCCCTTCTTTTGATGCACAGATGAAGTGCAGGACATCTAGTTTCTATACCTGGCTTTGCTTCTAACTCCCATATGTCCTAGGTCAAGCCCCTTCCTCTTTTTAGAAGTTTCTCCATTTGTAAAATAAAAATAATGCCCAAACAATTTTTGCAGTCCATACTAGTGGCAGCATTCTGTGATTATGTTCACTTATTTGGTTTTAGTCCCTGGCAAGGTACTTATTGGAGTCTTTGAGCGACATCTTTTGAGTTTTCTTCTAACCTTGCAGGTTCCCAGTTTTCTTCTTCTGAGCTATTTCCACTTTCAAAAAGATTTCATTTTCCCTTCTCTTGCTCCTTTGACTTTTGCAATCTAGCAAGCCAGGCTTGTTACCAAGGGCTGACTACACCTGCCCCTCAGCACGCTTGTACATCAGGGTGCTAATAAGTTCTGAGCAGTTTCCACACTTTCTGGACTATACTCACTTTTAAAATTCTTCATCCCAAAGCTTCCAAAGTGCTCTCTTTTTCTATAATTTTTATTTCTAAATTTAACACAGAGTTCTTACTGTTTGCTCCTTCCTGGTTGTTGAATTTCATTGTTGGTGAGATGACTGTGACATGATGTCTTACCCACAGTTATAGTTTAACCTAATGTGTTTCCCTTTTGGTGGGTTGCTTCATCTTCCTCAGCTCATTTCACAGAGTTGTGGTGATTAAATAAAATAATCCAAGCAAAGTATTTGGCACATACCTGGCACCTAGAAAGCACTCAAAGCATATCTACTATTAAAGCTGTCAGTTTGCTGCTGCTGCTGCTGCTAACCTTTGGGAGCTTAAAGAGTCTGAAGATGTAGATTAGAATTGCCTTGTTTTTTGTTAGTTTGAGACCTGTGAAAGTCCATTAAAACTAGATAACCAACGTTCAGCAATACCCGCCGATCCTTTGTTGCTCCATGTGGAGTCCATGGATCAACAGAATCTGTATCACCTGAGAGTTTGTTAAAAATACAAAATCTCAGGCGCCATCCCAGACCTACTAAGTCAGAAGGTCATGTTAGGAAGATCCCTAGAGGATCTGTTTGCAGCCTTTACCACCTTCTAATTGAGCACTGTGGCATTCAGGTTTAATATTTCAAACATCTAAAAACCCACTAAACCAGTGGTTCTCAACCTTCTGGCCCTTTGAATAGTTCCTCATGTTGTGACCCAACCATAAAATTATTTTCGTTGCTACTTCATAACTGTAATGTTGCTACTGTTATGAATCGTAATGTAAATATCTGATATGCAGGATGGTCTTAGGCGACCCCTGTGAAAGGGTCGTTCGACCGCCAAAGGGGTCGCGACCCACAGGTTGAGAACCGCTGCCTAAACCATCC